GGTACATGCAAAAAAAATGAAGCCACAATACCAACTCACACCATACACAAGAATAAATTCAAAATAGATAAAAGACTTAAATGGAAATCATGAAACCATAAAAATTCTAAAAGAAAACATAAGGAGCACTATCTCAGACATCTCTTGTAGCAATATGTTTGCTGATATATCTTGGAGGGCAAGGGAAACAAAGGAGAAAATAAACAAATTGGACTACATCAAAATAAAAAGCTTCTGCACAGCAAAATAAACTATCAACAAAATGAAAAGGGAGCGCACGGTATGGGAGAACATATGTGCCAATGATACATCTGATAAGGGGTTAATTTCCAAAATATATAAGGAACTCATACAGCTTAACAAAAGGAAGGCAAACAATCCAATTAAAAATGGGCAAAGGACCTAAATAGACACTTCTCCAAAATGGAAATACAGATGGCTAAGAGATATATGAAAAAATGCTCAAAGTCACTAATCATCAAAGAGATGCAAATTAAAACAACAATGAGATATCACCTCACACCTGTCAGAATGGCTACCATCAACAAATCATCAAATGACAAGAGGGTGTAGAGAAAGGGGAACCCTAATACACTGCTGGTGGGGATTCAGACTGGTGCAGCCACTATGGGAAACAGTATGGAGTTTCCTCAAAAAATCAAAAATGGAATTTCCATTTGACCCAGTGATCCTGCTTCTAGAAATAGATCCTAAGAAACTCAAAACACCAATTAGAAAGAATATTTGCACCCCTGTGTTCATAGCAGCACAGTTTACAATAGCTAAGATCTGGAAACAGCCCAAGTGCCCATCCGTAGATGAGTGGATAAAAAAGCCGTGGGACATTTGCAACATGGAATACTATGCAGCTGTAAAAAAGAAGGATCTCTTAACCTTTGGCACAGCATGGATGGGCCTGGGCATGATTATGCTAAGTAAAATAAGCCAGCCAGAGAAAGACAAGTACCACATGATCTCACTCATATGTGGAATATAATGAACAAAATAAACCGATGAACAAGATAGATACAGAGACATAGAACTATGGAGCAGTTGGACGAATTTCAGAGGGAAGGCAAGGGTGGAGAGTGTGTTGGGGAGAGATTAATCAAAGAATTTAGATGTGTATATACATGACCTGCGTATATACATGCGTATATACAGACAGTAGTGAGAAGACTTGGGGGGGGGAGGGTGTGGATACCCGGTGGAGAGGATTAATGGGGACAAAAAAAGGAGACATCTGTAATACTTTCAACAATAATACAAAAATATGGATTCCTGAACCCCACCAGAGGGACTAAGTTCCAGTTTCTGGGGTTGAGGCCCATAAATTTGTATTTTAAACAACTTCACCAGGTAATTCTGATTAGAAACCACTTTGGTTAGGAATGACTGTCCCAAACCAGTGGTTTCCAACTTTTCAGATCATGCACACTTCTCAGAATTTTTTAAGAATGTGCCTTCAATATATGCTGGTAGTTTATTAATAAATTCCTTATATGTACTATTGTCCTAATATTTGTGTTTTTAAATGCAAAAATATACATTAGTATTCTTATATGAGAATGGTCTCTAGTTTTCCTATATGTATCTTCTAGTTGGGCTTTGCTATTAACATTGTGCAAGATTCTTTTCTTGTCCTTCTATTCTCTAGATTCCAGAGTCTAGGAAGCATAAATAGCATTGGGGTTGTCTGTTCCCTGAAGGTTAAAATTAACACAAGATCATGTGAATGTACTTCTTATTTTGGTCAAAGTTATCAATATTTTTTTCTGTGGTAACTGGTGGGTTTAGATATTCTCATTCTTCTAATTTTGTGCATTTGGGGTTTTTAACTTGATTCACAATTGGCTTACCTGTCTTATTTTAATTTTCTTTTAAAGAATTAGCTTTTAGCTTTAGTTATTTGTTATATCATTTGTTCTCTAGTGTATTGGTTGATGCCATTAGTTTTCTTTCTGCTTTGCTTAGGACTATTTTTGTGGCAGTTTTCTTAACTTCTTTTGTTGAATGCTTAATTCATTTATTTTTATTTTTTCTTGTGTATTGATATAAGTATTTAAGACTATAATTTTCCCTTTTACCACTGTTTTAATCAACCATATCCTCCAGCTTCTCATATTTTCACTGTTGTTGTTTTCTAGGTATTCTACAGTTTCAGATTAAATCTCCTCTTTGACTAGCATGGAGAATATTTTTCCCTTTTATTTTCTATGCTAGAAGTTTTTGTTTTTCATTTTTGTTATTAATTTTGAGTGTTATTGTATTGTGATTAGATACTGTACTCTGTACTATTTCCACTTTTTAGCTTAATATATAGTCAATTTAAAAAAAATGTTCTATGGGCCCTTAAAAATAATTGTCTGATTTTGGTGTATGAATAAATTTAGATGTTCCCATTACCTTAGTTTTTGACTGTCAAATCTGTCATCAGCTGAAATCATCTCATATGTTGTTTCTGCTTTTTTCTACCTTTGCATTTCCTATAGATTTTGTTTTAGAAATTTTATTAATTTTTATTTTTCAGTTATAGTTGACATACAATATTATATTAGCTTCAGGTATACAAACATAGTGACTATACATTTTTATAACTTATGAAGTGATCATACAGATAAGTCTAGTACCCACCTGATACCATACATAGTTATCACAATATTATTGACTATATTCCCTAATATGAGCTTTATATCCCCTTGACTTGCTTTAGAAATTCTGATGCTCTGTTATTTGGTACATAAAGATTCAGAGTTGTTAGATCTTCTTCATGTTTTCTAATTGTTAATATTATAGTGCCCTTCTTTGTCTTGTTTATTGCTTTTTGCCTTTAATTCAACTTTGTAATAATATGAGTATCATGGTCCTTATTTCCACACCCCCCATTTTTGGCATTAATTCATTTATTAAACAAATATTTATTGAATGTCTACTGTGTGCCAGGCACTAGGTATCAGATGAATGAGACACACAAGATCCCTGTTAGTGTGGAGCTTACATTTTAGTTAGAGAGTGGAGCACAAAATGAACAAGTAAAAATAGGTATATGACATATCAGATAGTGATGCATCCCCTGAGAAAGAACAAAATGTAAAAAGGAAAATTAAGGATAAGTCATCTCTATTTTATATAAGGTGGTCAGGATAGTCCTCTCCACCTGATAGCATTTGTCATCCTTTTACTTTCCATTCATCACCTTGTTTGTTTTTTTTTGGTTTGTTTTATGAGGGGGAAATGTCAGGTGGAACAGTTTGCGCACAAGGGGTTGCTTTAATCTAAAGGAGCTCTAGGTAGGCTAAGGCCTAAATGAGAAGAGTGGGAAATGTGTGGATATGAATTTCTGTCCATGTGAATGATGAATTAGCCAGGATGGGGACTGGAGATGAGGGGAGTGAAGGATATTTTGCTTTCCATTCTATCAGAGCTAGGCTACCATTATGTATATTATTAAAAAAAATATTCTTGGTCTGCATTATGACTATTGAATGGATATTCTGTCTGATGATTTAATTGAACTGCTAGAATGTCCTGTCACTAGGCAGTACTTAGAATGATCCTGATTGCTCACAGACTACAGCAGGAAACCAGATCTTCTGGTTTAGCAGACTTAACCCTTTATACTATAAGGCTAAATAGATGTCCTCTGACTTTAGTGACTCTTTATTATACACAAGTTTGACATTTTATACATATTTAAATAAACCTGGAATCATTTTTCTTGGATATTTTTCTATTGCTTACAAGATAAGAATCTTATTTCTCCTCACAAGTGATAGTCTTTTTAATTTTGATAGTCCTTTCTTATATGTATATTATATATACACATATAACATATATTAAAATTCTATACACATACACCCTTAACTCTTGAATCTGGAATTTATTTTGATAAATAATATATGGTATAGCTCCAAATAACATTGCTCTGCATTTATCTCAAGAAAGATTTATTAAATGATCTTATCTCCTTGTTATAGAATGCCAATTATGTATTGATATCTTAATAGCTTCATATGTTTCTGGACTTTCCAGTCTGTTCCACTAATCAGTAATAGAGTTTTCACTATAATTTCTTTATAATATGCTTAATCCCTACTCACCCCCCCATTTCTTCTGTAACAAATATGCTTTAATATTATATCTTGCTTTATTTTACAAGCTAATCAAAAAACTCTATTGTTAAAAATTCCTATTGAGAATTCTTACTGGAATTGCATTAGGAGATATTTTAAATCCAAAATAGCAGATATTTGTAAATGTCATGCTTGATGTTTTTTCTTACAAGTATAAGAACATGAAAAGAAAATATACATGCCAAATTAATGATATAGCTTGCATCTAGAGAGGCAACAGGGGAATATAAGTGGGGGGTGAAACAGATATTTTTTCTTATTTCTTAAAATTCATGAAGCATCAATGAATGACAAAATATTAAGATGTGTTTATTCTGAGCAGTGAATATTTATTTTAGCAATCTCTGTATATTTGTATATATTTGAATTTTTCATAATTAAAAACAAAACAAACAAACAAAAAAACAGATGAAGCAAGATAACCAGACTTGTAAGCCTAAGGATATGGCACATTCAACCTGAGTGCTACAAACAGACTGAGGTGGTGTGTGTATTCAGGCTTTAGAGCTAAATTGTCCAGGTTCAAACTCTAGCTCTGCCACTTACTAGCTTTATGACCCTGAGCAAGTTACTTAACCTTCCCATGCCTCAGTTTCCCCAGCTATAAAATCAGGACAATAATAATAGCAACTTCCTAGGGTTATTATGAGGATTAAATATGTTAAGGCATGAAAGGCACTTAAAACAGTACCTGGTATTTAGTACAAACACAGTAAATATTAGCTATCAATAATATATATTACTATTATTACATTTATTACATAGATTACATTGTTTTGTGGCCATTTTAAATTTTACATAAATGATGTCATAAAAAATATGGGATCATCTGCTTGTTTTACACAATCCCCATCTGCTCTTTTGCAGGGAAATGACTCATTCCAAGGCTGGCTTTTCATGGGCAACCCCCTTCCATCCTTGTCTTGAGAACCCAGCACTGGACTTGTCAAGCTACCGAGCAATCTCTTCTCTTGACCTCCTAGGAGATTTCAAGCACTCCTCGAAAAAAAAAGAGGAAACTTCAGTTTATGAGGAGGGGAGCTCCATATCCTCTGTGCCCCAACCGCTGCGCAGCCGTGCCTTCTCAGAGAGCCATATCAGCTTGGAGCCCCAGAGCTCCCGGGCCTGGGGGCAGCATAGGAGGGAGCTCTTTACCAAAGTTGATGAAACCCAGCTAGATCCTCTGGGAACCAGGAAGAAGGCCTTTCCTCCTCCTCGCCCTCCTCCTCCCAACTGGGAGAAGTACAGGCTTTTTCGTGCAGCCCAGCAGCAGCAACAGCAGCAGAAGCAGCAACAGCAGCAGCAAGAGGAGGAGGAAGAGGAGGAGGAGGAGGAAGATGAAGAGGAGGAGGGGGTAGAAGAGGAGGAGGAGGGAGGAGAAGAGGAGGAGCTGCCACCCCAGTATTTCAGTTCAGAAACCACTGGTTCCTGTGCTCTCAATACTGAGAAAGTCCTGGAGCAGCCACAATCCCTGGGCTTTGGTCACCTGGAGGTCTCAAGGCAGGGCACACAAAGCCTCGCAGCAGAGCAAGAGTCTTTTAGTCTCCATTCAAGTGATTTCCTGCCTCCAATAAGGGGCCACTTGGGATCTCAGCCTGAGAAGACTCAGCCCCCTTGCTATTATGGCATTGGTGGCCTTTGGAGGACATCGGAGCAGGACACCACTGATCCCTCCAAGTAAGTGTTTATGAAAGACATCAGATCCACACAGAGGCAGGCAGAATGAGTTTGAATTCCACCTCCATCATCATGTACCAGTTGCATGACCTTGGGCTGTTCCCAGTCTCAGTTATCTCACCTGGAAAATGGGCATGATGATACCCATTCCACATGGTTGTTGTGAATATGAAGTTAATCTATGTAAAGGACATAGCCCTATGCTTAGCACATAGTAGGTCCTCAGTAAATTGTAGTTGTTCATGTTCTTATTCCTAAATACCACTATAAAAATATATTTATCATTTCCCAGTTGGTCTTTAAAATATGCATCAGTTTCTGGCCCCTAAGACAGAAGGCATTAAACCTTTGTTGCCTGCATGAGGCTTTTCCCATAAGCCTGGCTCAGGCTCTTTTCCACCTTATCTTCTGCTTGCTCTTCAGAACAAGAGGCTAGGTAGAAACCTGACCTGCCTTTGCTCTAGGGCCTGCCTGAGCTTCTAAACGCAGCCTAACACCTCAGCATCAAAGGTGTTCCTGGGGTTGCGTGCTTTATGCCTTGATCATTCCTTACAACAGCTAAGAACATTATTTTCCTCTTCCACTCTCCATTACCCTCACCCTTGTTTCACCTATCTCTTTGCATTTGCTTCAGAGAGCAACACGTGGTAGTGGACAGGATGAGCTGCCTGGGCAGGGAATCTAGCAGCTGGACTGCCGGTGTCTGTTCATTTCATTGTGCCAATGCTCATGTGCATGCACTACAGTGTGTGGCTGTTCTCTTTGCTCCAAAGCAAAAGAGCTTTGGATTTCAGCTCTGCCAGGCATCCCACAGAGAGCTCAGCCCACTCTCTGCTGGGAGTGAGGGTGGGGGGCAGGTGTCTTTCCTCTAAATGCTTTCTTTAAATCCCTTTATAGAAGGAATATGCCTGAGACTTGTTGATATTAGAAGTATCTTGTTATCATGTCTTTTACTGATAGCCAGATCCATTACTTGGCTATCTGGAGCTAGTCAAGGTTTTCCAGCCCGAGGTGCCAGAAGCACAGCACTTACAGGGCCTGGCTCTGAGACACTGTGAGAATCTCTTATCAGATCCCTATTGGCTGCTTCTCAAGCCGTCCATCTAGCTGGGGAGCATTCTTACTATAATTGGAAAACTGTGGAAAATGACTGTGTTACCTATCAAGGTGAAGAGAATGTGATCTAGCACTTAATATTCAGAAGAAAGAATAAATGAATGAATAAATGAACATGTATTAAGCATTTGCTATGTACCAGACACTGCTAGTCCTTTTATATTCATTATTTCATCTAATCCTCCCAACAGCCCTAAGGGTTGTTGTTATTCTCATTTGACAGATGAGAAAGCTAAAGCTGAGCAAAATAAGGGACTAAATAAGTCAGAATTGTGCAGCAAAGATTCAAAACCAGATCTGCCTGACTCCCAAATCCATGCTTATTTCGCTATCCTAGTCGAAGAGGGATCTTGTCCTTACAGCAGGCCGGGCCTTTACAAGGCCCTCCTGTCTCCTGTGTGTACCAGAGGTAATAGTTACAGTACCCCTGTCAGCCTGCTAGTTCTTTCTTTATGTACCTCCATTCACCTTGGCCAGAGAGAGGGAAACTGCTATTATTCGAGATCTTGTAACTTCTTCCACAGATTTTTTTAAATGACTATAGGATGGAGGGGAAGCATTTATTTGCATACAACCCTGGCTTGTGGCTGCAGAAAGTCAATTATAGGTGCTTCTTTGAGTGATAACGAGTTAAGGAACAGCATCATTCACAATATAGCTATTTTTTTTTTGCTTGTTTACCATGTGCCAAGTATTATTCTAAACACTTTCGTGTATTGATTGATTTAATCTTCACAACACACCTATGAAATAGATACCATTAGTCTCATATATATATATATTTTTTAATTTTTAAAAATTTTAAAAAATATTACAAATGTCCCTTTATCTCCCCAATGACCCATTCCACCCCATCCCACCCCCCTCCCCAGTCCCTCTCCCC